TCTATCTATCTATCTATCTATCTATCTATCTATCTATCTATCTATCTATCTATCTATCTATCATCTAGCAATAGCAATAGCACTTAGACTTATATGCCACTTCATAGTGCTTTACAGCCCTCTCTAAGCGGCTTTACAGAGTCAGCCTTTTGCCCCCAACAATCTGGGTCCTCATTTTACCCACCTCAGAAGGATGAAAGGCTGAGTCAACCTTGATCCTGGTGAGATTCGAACTTTTGAATTGCAGGCAGCTGGCAGTCAGTAGAAGTAGCCTGCAGTAGTGCACTCTAACCACTGCACCACCGAGGCTCTTATCTATCTATCATCTAATGTCTGCATAATTTTACAGGATTGTTTACATATCCACTACTCCATACTTTGCAGGTCTCATCTGTAATCTACTCCATGCTTTGCAGGTCTCACTACTGCTCTTGAGTCAAAGGCCCTACAAATGCTATTTCCTTAACCTTCCAAACATTGTAACCTATGTCAAGCTATGGCAATGGTTCTTTTCAGTTAATAACTCACTTGGTAACTGTTGAGGTAATTCCCCGTTAGGAGAATGAGCGCATACAGGGAGACGTATAGAGAGTATTGTTGGAATAATACACACAGAGCACACAGATACACTGTACAGTAAATGTAGGTTTTTACTTCCAGAAAGGTTTAAGCAAAGTCCAAAATAAGCAGTCCAAAAGTCATTCACAGGTAAATCAGTCAGTTTTTCAATCCAGGGATAATCCAAATATCAAATTCCAGTGTCAAAAACAGTTCAGTATCAGACTTACACTAAATCCAGTAATATCAGTCAATTAGAAGAAATGGAGGAACGGCAATATTTTCCAACAGAAGGAAACAGAGACTCAGAAGCTGTGTCTTCTGAGACTCAGACTAAAACTAAACAACCCAGGTTTCTGGCTCCATCGTATGGCTGTTTGAGAAACCACACCCAATTGCATGCTCTTGCATTCCCTTAAAGATATAGTACTAAAATGTTTATCCTGGTTTATATATTTCTAACCCAAATACCTGTTAGGTGACTTATATTCCTAACAGTAACCATAGGCAACGTGGATCTCATAAGATCAATAAAGATGAGGCAGAGTATTCTGACCCCTTCCTGGGTTTTTTTGTGAGGTTGAGGTGGATGGCTCTGCCCATTTCAGGGGACATAAACGAAAATGAAACAGTGAAGGGACCATTTGTTTCTACCAACTTCCTGTTGGTATTGCTCCGAAGTCTATTGCTGTGGGGAATGATGGTTTTGTTTGTTTGTTTGTTCGTTCATTTATTTCCTACTTTTATTTTTATAAATAATTTAAGGTGGAGAACCTACCTTCCTACCTCCTCCTATTTTCCCCACAACAATCCCTCCGTGAGGTGAGGTGAGGTGAGCTGAAAGAGAGTGACTAGGCCAAAGTCACCTAGCTGGCTTTCGTGCCTAAGAAGGAACTAGAACTCGCAATCTCCTGGCGTCTAGTCTGGTGCCTTAACCATTAGATCAAACTTCCTTGCAATATGTTAAGTTCCATTTTGTACCAGGTCAGAGTGGAGACTAAACTATTCTTATTAGGCCCAGCCCAGGTAACCTGCTCAGTTTTAAAGTTAAATTGTAAAGATTAGATCCTGGTCTCAAGAAAAGATTTCTCTGCCCTATCTAACACAGGATCTGGATTACGAGACTCTCGGGAGGCTTTATAATGTCTGTTGGCTTATTTACAAGGCTGCAAAAGATTATTTTTATCTTATTCATTTTTAAATGAATTATATAGCTGTCCCTGTTGTAACCACAGCCTGGGCAGCTCACAAAACAATAAAAATTCCACCTCCAACAATCAAATAAAAGCTCAATAAAAACTCAATAAAAACCCCTCATGGATCCTTGGGGTAGCACTCTCTCTCACACACACACATACCATCTTGCTCAACATATCCAAAGAAACTCTATTTGTACAGAATAATTTTGAGATTGTTGAATCCAGCCAATACATTAATTTGGCCTTACCCAGTGTGGTACCCTTAGTTGTGCTGGATTGTGTGGTTGTGGTTCTAACTGTTCTGGAGGCTTGGGGCAGCCCCAGTGGTGGGATTAAAAAATTTTTAACTACCGGTTCTGTGGCCGTAGCTTGGTGGGCGTGGCAGGGAAGGTTACTGCAAAATCTCCATTCCCTCCCCACCCCACTAACCTGCTTTCCAGCTCTGTTCTCCTGTGCAGGGCAACAAAAGAAGACCCAGCCAATCAGCTGGGCCTTGGGAGACAGAGAATAGATGGGGGCGGGGCCAGTCAGAGGTGGTATTGGCCGGTTCTCCGAACTACTCACAATTTCTGCTATTGGTTCTCCAGAACTGGTCAGAATCTGCTGAGTAACACTTCTGGTCAGCCCTCTGTAATGATGACACTTCCCTATCCATAAATCCTTCAAATTTCCTGCAGATCAGAGAATGCTTTTTTTCTTCCTTCATTCTTCCCCTTCTCTTGATAGAGAAATATAATATTATGGCCTCCACACATAAAGTTCTCAGTTACTGTCTTCTTAGCAAGTCTTTCCATTCTGTATTATTAATACAGATTAAAATGACCCTCAGTTGCCATCTTGTGCTCATTGAAATAGAACAAACAGTAACACCAGGGGTTGTTTCATCCCTCTTTGTTAACTATCTGGATAACTTCCACAATCCTTTTTGTTGTTGTTGTTGTTGTTGAAAGTTTTATTTGGGTTTTCACAAAAACAAAATATAAATAAAACATCTTTTTTGAAAATAGCATGGTCCCAGGTTATCACTTCTTCATACAGACACCAAACTCAATTTCATGCTCATTTTTATATTCTATTCCATATCTTATTACCATTTTATATTTTCTACATAGTTTTTCCCCTCTTTTAATTTTCTCAACTTTATTTTAATTATCTCATCTCAATCAAATCATGATATTTATACTTTATATTTATATTTATACAGACATAGGAATTTGGGGGAAAAAAGATCTTAAAAGTCTGGATTTGACAGACTTAGATATGTTTAGACACACTTAAAGAAGGCTTACTCCCACCCATTAAACAATGCCTTATTATTAACTGTAAGGTGATAGTAGCACTCCAATATCTCAGGGGCTTCCACAAAGAAGAAGGAGTCAACCTCCAAGCTCCAGAAGACAGAATAAGAAGCAATAAGGTAAAGGTTCTCCTCGCACATACGTGCTAGTCGTTTCCGGCTCTAGGGGACGGTGCTCATCTCTGTTACAAAGCCAAAGAGCCAGCAATGTCTGAAGACGTCACCGTGGTCATGTGGCCAGCATGACTAAATGCCGAAGGCACATGGAACTCTGTTACCTTCCCACCAAAGTGGCCCCTATTTTTCTATTTGCATTTTTACATGCTTTTGAACCGCTAGGTTGGCAGAAGCTGGGACAAGTAACGGGAGCTCACTCCATTACACAGTGCTAGGGATTCGAACCGCCGGACTGCCGACCTTTCTGATCGACATGCTCAGCGTCTTAGCCACTGAGCCACCACGTTCCTTAAGAAGCAATGGATAGAACAGTGGTGGCTAACCTTTTTGGGCTCCTGTGCCAAAAATTGCGCACGCACTGGCGCATGCGCTCTCGCGTGCCAGCATCCAGAAGGCAATGTGCCCCACCCCCCTGAACATGTATGCACAACACCCCCATGCCTCTTTACTTGCACTGTGCATGCCCCAGCCAAACTTACCTGCACTGTGCATGTGCGTGCCTCCTAGCTGATTTTCGGCTCGTTTGAGACAGTTTTTGCCCTCCCGGAGGCTCAAGGGAAGCCTCTGCAGCTTTTGGAGGCTGAAATACTGCAAGTGCTGAAACAGGCCCATTTTTCAGCCTCCAAAGGTTGCAGAGGCTTTCCTCGAACTCCCGGGAGGGTGAAAACAGCCTCCAGAGGCCCTCCGGAGGCTGAAAATGGGCACTTCCTGCATTTCCGGAAGGCCCATTTTTCAGCCTCCTGAGGCTGCAGAGGCTTCCCTAGAGCCTCAGGGAGGCCAAAAAAGGCCTCAAACGGGCCCAAAATCAGTTGTGAGGCATGTGCATGCACAGTGCAGGCAAGTTTGGCTGGGGCTCGCATGCCCGCATAAATGACTCCACGTTCGCCATCATGGGGATAGAAGCTAATCAAGGAAAGAGTCAACCTAGAACTAAGGAGAAATTGCCTGACAGAACAATTAATCAGTGGAACGACTTGCCTCTGGAAGTTGTGAATGCTCCAACACTGGAGATTTTTAGGAAGAGACTGGACAGCCCTTTGACTGAAATGGTATAGGGTTTCTTGCTTGAGCAGGGGTTGGACTAGAAGATCTCCAAGGTCCCTTCTAACTCTGTTATTCTGTATAACATGCATGTGTCACACAGTTCTCATCATGCTATGAATTTAGAATTTGATCTGAGCAGACAGGATTACGTTCAGTTCATTTTTTTATTAAACTTAGCCAACATCTGAGACTGAATTTATAGAAAGTAAGTAATTTAGTTTCGTTGTCTAAAACATCTGACTTTGGAACAAAACAGAGCAAAAACTCCATAATTCATATTTTGTTCTGTAAGATATTCTCCATCTTTCCTCCTTTCTCCTCACTAATATGCTTCTATTTTATACAAAATATACTTTACAACTTGAATTTTATAAATCTATATTTAAAACTATATAGGGGGAAATATATTTACATGATAGATATAGATATAGATAGATGATAGACATAGGTGTGTGTGTGTGTGTGTGTGTGTGTGTGTGTGCGTGTATACGCTATACCCGTGCTTCACTACAAAACTATGTGATCGGGCTTAGTTTTTGAGGAGGAAAGTAAGGGGGAAAAATTGTGCCTCGGCCTACCACCATCCATCTGTATTCATATGGCTAGCATCCTGTCAGTATGTGAGAGAATTGAGGGCTGTTTGGAAACTGAAATACGGAAAGTGAAACAGTATTTGCTGTGTGAGCAAGGAGACAGCAAGGAGCCTGGGCATGGCTTAGCTCAACTGTTCTGTACTAAAGCTGCTTGGTGCTGTGAAACAAAAACTGAAATTGAAACTCCTCTTCTCTGCTTGTGTTTTGCATTTGGAACAGATTTTCTTTCAGGTGGGGAGGAGGAGTAGAACTCCTTAGCATCAGAGCGTGTTAATAATAATATATGAAATACAAATGCTCTGATGGTCATTTATATATATAAAGCTTTCGGCTTCGTGCTTGTGTGAGCCTGAAGATGGCGAGTGGGACCTTGTTGCCAAGATACTCTCAATCTTACATGGGAAAAGACCCGAACATATATATCAATACATACATAAGGATGCAAATACATATACATATACATATAAATGTACATATTCTCTCTCTCTCTCTCTCTCTCTCTCTCTCTGTGTGTGTGTGTTTTTTCGTGGGTATTTATATGTATGGTATTCAGCTTTGTTCAGGTATTTTCCCACATCTTTATGTTGTGCTTTTAAAGCTGAAACGTTGCTACAACTTTAAAAGCACAACTATAAAGACGTGGGAAAATACCTGAACAAAGCTGAATACCACACACACACACACACACACACACACACACACACATACATATGCAGAGAGAGAGAGAGAGAGAGAGAGAGAGAGAGAGAGAGAGAGAGAATATGTACATTATTTTGCAACCCTTTGCTTCAAAGAATGATATAGTCTTCCCTAGATTGGTCCTTCCAGTCTTGAGATATGTCAAATGTAGTACTTTCCAGGTGTGTTAATTATATTTCTCATAGTTTCCGGTAAAACAATAAAGTTGGCCAGGAATTATGGGAAATGGACTTCAACTCATCTG